TACAGTTTATAAGATTGAGATTTGCTCAGTGAGTTGAGATCACTGAATTAGATGATTATGTTATGTTATGTATGTTATTATCATTTATATAACCATTGTAATTTCAGGTAGTCTGCAACTGATGAGAACCTGTGAAATAGAATGATATCATTTTGTACTGCAAATTCCGTCTTCCTTTCTTTATCGAAAAATAAGAGTAATTGGTAGTTGATATGGGATACAAATTTTCAAACATTCAGTATGTCTTTCACTTATATCAGAAATTTTCTTTACCTAGTAGAAGCCTAGTGAAATGGGTTTATATATATATATATATATATATATATATATGTTACAATTCATTTTTTTGATGTGATTGTGTTCTCTGAGCTGGATAGTTAATTTGCGAAGCTTTTATCCCCCTACTAGGCGACATATTCAGCGCATACTTTAATTTGAATTGAAGTGAGCTTTTAGATTTCTCCGCGAGTTTATTAATCATCTCTCCTGGTGGGTGGCCTGGGATGTGATTGGTTGTTTTTGTGTGTTTTCACACCTTCTAGAGGCTACTTGTATTGGAACTGATTGTTTCTTTGACTTGAACTTTAACCCTTTGTGTGTGAGGTTTCTTTCTTATCGGTTGATAAATTTTGTCTATCTCGAGGTGCCTATTGATTTATGATTCACTGGAATACCAGACTTTAAAAAATTCTCCAGCATTCTTGGTGTTTCCTCTGTCTAATATTTGAACGCTGGTTGTCCCAGTCGAATTGATATCCATGGTTGTCTGTATGCAGCGAGTGATATGAGGGAATGGATGTCATGTCTTTTGACGGCTAGCTTATGATCATAAATACGAAGACGAAGGAGACGTCCACTTTGGCCAATGTAGTGTTTTTCGCAGTTGTTGCAATTTATATTGTAGATGATGTTGGTTTTATCTTCTTTCGTTGTTTAGTCTTTTGGCTGACATAGATCCATCTAAATGAAGTGATTTAGTTGGTTTATGTGCGACGTCAATTCCTAAAGGTTTGAAGGGTCTTGCAGTGATTTCTGAGATGTCCTTTATATATGATAAGGCGATTTTCTTTGTGCATTCCTTGGGGGCTTTTGGTCTGATAGGTTGGCTTGGGGGTATATGTCTTTTGATAAAATTCGGTGGATATACATTCTTTAAGAAAACATCCATGAGATATCTCTCTTCAATTTTACTTAAGGTAGGAGTGCTGCAATGAGTCCTGGCCCTCTTGAATAGTGTTTCTATGCCATTCCTTTTGTGTGTCATTTGATTGTTGCTGTTGTTATTCAGTATTTGGTCTGAGTGAGTTGATTTTCTATAAACTTGAGTTTCTAATTCTCCTGTGGTTGTTCGCTTGACTAAGATGTTCAAAGGTGGGATTTTGTTCTCGGATTCTTCTTCTATTGTGAATTTGATATCGTTGAAGACGTTGTTTATTAAGTTATGAGTTTTATCTAACTATTCATTATATATCATGCTGCAAGCTGTGGGAAGCAAGAAGACAGGAATACGTTAGGCCGGCAAGAAGACTCTAGAAGATTTGAACTTCGTAAACGATTTGTGTTTAATGTCACACAAACTCCAAGATCTTCAGGTGAAGACAAAGAAGTTGGCAGAATCGGCTGCCAGGCCAGACAGGAATTCCAGTGAACATAGAGAATGCAAAGTTGACTAAGACACCTAATCAACAACGCTAAGCACCAATCGCTATGACTTATTGAGGCAGCATCGTTTGAACTACGGGCAGCTATGATGAAGAAGTCAAAGTGAGTCAGAATCAGAAGGAGAAGATAGACCTTTATTGTTCTGATATCAGCACGAAAATCGATTCTGCCGAGCATGAAAAACGAGATTTGGATTTTCAACACTTATGTCAAGTCTGTCTGTGCTTCTATCTGGTTTGGAGACTTGCCGCGTTGGCAAAGGCATTCCGAACAGGCGCCAGACTTTTATCCTCAGCTATCTTCGCTCTACACTGAAGATCAGATGACGAGAAAGGATTAGTAGAAGCAAGGAACAAGTCAATCAAGAACCTATCGGCCAACAAATATGCGAAAGAAAAACTAGAGATGGATTGGACACTTACTGAGGAGACTGTTGAATGCCGTCACGCGCTACGCCGTCTTATAGGACTGTCTGTCTGTTTTCAACATAGGAGTTTTGCACCGAAGTGCAGGAATTCGACTCATCACACTTCACTCAGCACACAAAGCCAGAGAAGAAGAAAGTAAAAGGAAACGCGAAATAGAAACAGTAAACAGAGATATAGAGGCGAAAAGAATAGTAATATTGAAGAACAATATAGTTTTATTGGAAATTATAAGTCACAAGGAGTGGATGCATCTGCGCCAGCCATTGACAATGATTTTGAGCCATATCACCAATTGTCTTCAGCCTTCATTGGTTTCTACCGTCCCGAGGACCCCAACCAGGAGACCAGTCTACACTTCCCCACGTGGCTAGCAATGCGATGGATCGCCAGTATCCCTATCGTAGCAGATATCTTCATGGACAGCTGGGAAAATATTGCTCTTAACACGTTTAATCTTACTCCAAAGGTATGGTGGAGATATGTGGATGACACTTCCACACACAGTGTTGAAAACAGAACCTATCTCTTTCTAACTTCTTGACATATATAAACTCACTAGTAGAGGGAATAAAATTCACATTTGAATCAGAAAATGAACAAGGAGAATTAGCTATGAGGTTAGATTGTAAAATAAAACGAACAGAAGAAGGTGAACTACACACTAGCATTCGGATAGATATTCAGACTTTAATTCATCTCATCCGTCGTTATCTGCAAAGGTAGGCTTAGTTGAGTGTCTAACAAACCGAGCAATACCACTAAGAAGTACATCAAAATAACTAAATGACGAAATGAAACAGATGGAAGAAGAAGCGTTGGTGTCAAATAACTATCCTATAAAATTCACTAGGAAGATAAGAAAAAGTCAAAATGAAAATAAAAAATGGCGGGGAAACTAATAATGATAACATAAATAAGAGAGAATATAAGTCATTCACTGTTATACCACATAAGGAGGGGACATCTGAGACCCTACGTAGGATTATCAACAAAGCAGGCATGAGGGTGGCATTGAAACCTACAAACTCACTCAGGCACAAGCTCTGTAGGTTAAAGGACCCTGTATGTTGACCCAATTAGACAAAATAATATAATTTACAAAATACCCTGCAATGACTGTGAGTTAAGTCAACTACATAGGTCAAACGAGTAGATGGCGGGGGTAATCAGATTTTCGGAACATAAGAATTTAGTGGCTAAGGCAAGAATGGTTGACCCCGAGAAGACAAGTAATTTAGAAAAAAGCTCAGCAATTGCACTGCATGCATTAACACACAACCACACAATAGGATGGGCGGGAGAGGGTTAAAATTCTAAAAAGTAATCTAGGTAGGTGGAGAGCGAGAGAGATTGACTACTGAATCCTGGTTCATTTAGTCTACACCTAACACATGCAACAGAAATGACTCAATGCAAATACCAGAGATATGGAAGATATTATTACCACCAGTCAGTCAGTCAAATCAGAGGAGGATAATAAATAATGTTAAAATGTATTCAATTCAGTTAATATTACTGTATAACAGTGTGCAGCTTTGTCAAAATAAAATCTTATCTATAATGGAGTTATACTCTACCACCACAGCGCCTAAGTTTTACACTTACATCAATAGTTATTATTATTGTTCCCTTGGGTTCCTAGTGGAACATAAGGCTTCAGCTGCACGTCACCACTTGCGTCTGTCCTCTGCTGTACTTTTCACCTGCATCTATGTTAGTCCATACTGTTTCAATTCCTCTTCACACGATCTCCTCCATGTCACCCTTGGACGTCCCACTCGCCGCTTCCCTTTCGGGATCCACTCGACCGTTGGCCTGACGCGCGATGTCACCCAGCGGCCTCCTCAGCGACTGTCCAATCCATCTCCACTTTCTCCTGCATATTTGTTGAGCGATTGGTTCTTGTTTTGTTTGTTCCCATAGTTTCTCGTTGGTGATTCTTTCCGGCCATCTGATCTTGAGTATAGAGCAAAGACAGTTGTTGATAAAGGTCTGCAACAGGCTGTTGGAAATATTCTTTGTTACCCGCTAAGTTTCTGATCCGTAAAGAAGAACTGACTGACTTGACGTTTGTTTGTATTGAAAATCCGAATCACTTTGTTGTTGATGCTGAGTGACGAAGATTTCCAGATTGGTTTCAGGTTGATGAATGTGTTTCTCGCCTTCTTCATTCTCGATTTGACATCCTCGTCCGTTCCTCCTGTAGTTGAGACAATGCTCCCTAGATAAGTGAATGAAGTAACCTTTTTCAAATCCCTCCCGTTGATGGTGATTGGCGCTGGATGTTGCTGCTGCAGTTGTTAATGTTGGTTGGTTATTTTCATAACCTCCGTCTTGTCTATGTTCACCTGGAGTCCTGTCTTTGCTGCTTCTTCGACCAATTTGTCGGTTTTCGCTTGTAAGTCTTCGATATTGTGTGACATCAAACATAAGTCATCTGCGAAATTCAGGTCTTCTAGGTTCTCCACGTCGGTCCAGGATATCCCTGTCTTCTCGTTTCCCACTGTCTGACGCATAACCCGGTCCACCACAATTAGGAATATCATTGGTGATAATAAGCACCCTTGTCTGACTCCTGTATTTACTCCAAACGCCTCTCTGAGTTTTCCGTTGTGGATCACTTGACATGTGCCGTTGTCGTACAGCTTTCCTAGATTACTAGCTCGCTAGTTTTCTCGCCGGTCCCAAGCCCCGATAAAGAGGGAGGGTCGGGGCGTGGTGCTAGCAACTCCATCCCCAAAACTTAACCAAATTGCTACAGAAACTTCAACGCATAAATACATCAATAATACATGACTAAAAAAGGTTGATTTCTGTTCCACACATCATTTGATGTTTTCTCTCTCACTTTCGCTTTGTTTATCATTCTATACTGTTGTGTTGTGTTATGTTGTAATTTCTGCCTTATAGGAAATGTATCATGAAGTGCCTACATGTCATATAACAACTGGTTATTATGTTGGCTTCTCTTATATGATGATGCATTCCTATCAAGATGCTGTATCCACTCTCCTATCGACATTAGCCTATAAATCACGTGCTATTGGGCTGATATCACAACGTGCTGATCTTAGAGAATATGTCAATAAACAGGCAGATCAAATGATGTCATTATTAGCTATCTGTTTGACTATGTGTCCTACATCGATTGACTATAATATTGATATGGATAGAAGAGAGAAATTCACTGAGACGATTATTCGGTTACAACAACTGTAAGTATTATTGTTACTGTTATTATTATTATTATGATTTTGTGTTCTTCAGGGATGTCGACTGCCTCCATTGTTTGTTTAATTTTACCATAGGTGTACGACGGATGATAATGTCTTTCTACGTGTCTATCTTTCACTGTTCCCAACCAATAGTGCGGTTAGACAGGGTTGCCCGATCTTTCTCTCTGTTTTTCTTTAACTTTGCCATTGATGACATTCTGGAGTCAGCTATGAAGAATGTGTGTGAAGGTGGTGTAGTAGATCTGCTCCCTGGAGATAGACGTTTCGACCTCGAGTATGCAGACGATATCGTCTTACTGTGCGATCGCCCAAATTGCACCTAATCAGTTGGCGATCGGTGTCTGTAAGTATGGTATGTGCTTTGCGCCGTCTAAGTGCAAAGTACTGTTACAAGATTGTCAGGAGCCGCTTGTACTTGCACTCACTCTAGCGGGTGAACCTCTCAAAGTTGTCTATAGGCCGGTGTATCTGGATAATTGTGCGAGTGCTGATGGAGGAGATTTCCAACAGTATCATGAAAGCTAGGGTGGCATACGTCAGTCTAAGCCACCTCTGGCACCGTCGTGACGTTAGCCTGGCTGTCAAAAGTTAGGTATAAAGTGCTTCGGTGCGGGCTGTCTTGTTCTACGCCTGTGAGACCTGGCCTCTCCGGGCTGAGGATGTGTGGCGACTCTGCATATTCGGTCATTGCTGTCTCCGCAGGATTGATTGCGTTCGATTGCATCATCGTGTGAGTAATTCTGAGGTCCATCAGCGTATGTTTGAACACAGCGTAGATCATCGTTCATTGAGTGTCGTCATCTGGAAACATCGGCTTCGGTGGCTTGTACATGTGCTACGAGGAATGTCATCCCAGAGGCTTCCGTACCTTTCCATGTTCTTCAGTCCTAAAACGGATGGAAAAAGTGAATAGGTGTTTGGTCCATGACGTGGGATGAAGGATATTTGTGTTAGATTAGCATCGATTGGTGCATCACGACTCCTTGGTTGGCGTCCGAGAGATAGCTCGAATCGATGGCTCGAAACGTTATCGGATATGGCCAATAATCGCAGTCATCAATGGCGAACGTGCTGCAATTTCCTTCTGTCTTCCCTTTCCGGCGATAATTGACGAATGCTGTTTGAATCTGTTAAGTATGACTGTTTTCCTTCCAGATGAAGTTCTTTTTCCGTTCTCCACCTATATTTTTACCTTTAGTCTATGTTGTTTTATTATTATGGTATGGCTCGTCTTCTTGGTGCCATGTTGTACGAAATTTTTCTGCGTTGAAATAAATAATAAATTCTACGTGAAGAAGACGCTATTAAAATGCCGAGTCTTTTGAGGACCCCTTGACATGTGATTCTCTCTTGTCAAATGTAAATGGTGCTCCAAGACTGCTGCGGTATACCGGCTCCTAGTTTTGAAGATAGGAAGAGAAGTGGTAGAGCACTTTGATCGTCTCACTTATTTACAAAGCTGCATCAACCATTATACTCTAACTCATCACTGTCGAAATCTCAGAACGGATACAAAAGACTCGAGTGGCATTTTCCAACTTAGACGTGATATCCGTCTGTCATTCGAAAAACGTATGTACTGCACAGAGCAGTTTGCTTTATCCTTTTTTATGACTGCTGGAAAAGACTATTGAAGTGGGGGAAGACATGAAGAGGTGAAATCATACCTTGGATTGGGTAAATTGCGAATTAATGTGCGAAATTACAAACTAATTTGCAAACTGTGAATTTGATTTAGTGAAAAATAGTGTGTTTATGAAACCATCTAAGGCGGAGAAGATAATTCATTGAAAATTAGTTAACATATATTTTTGATTGATCACTAGTTAGTAACTAGTGTAATGTGTCTACTCCTTTGTTTGGTGCAGATTGAATTCTAACAGTCAAGTTTACAATGTGGCTACCATGCCACTAGGTAGCTCACCATCATGGTGCTCTTCGGTGCCCTGTTGGACCTAGGTTTTGGTGCTAGTTGGCACTTACCAGTCAGCAAGGCGTATCTGCAACCGTCTTGAAGGAACTCATGTCCCTTCTGATATTCAGACCCGCGTCACCCAGTGCAGCCTGCAGTCAGGGACGTTACCACTGAGCTATTGAGGCTCACGACTGATCTCCTGTAGGGGGACTGTATTGGATATTTTTGATTGGACACTAGTCAATTACTAGGGTGATGTACCTAGTCCTATCTTTGGTGCAGACTGAATTCTATCAGTCAAGCTTGTAATGTGGCTACCATTCTCAGAAGGGACATGAGTTCCTTCAAGACGGTTGCAGATACGCCTTGCTGACTGGTAAGTACCGACTAGCACGAAACCTAGATCCAACAGAGCTTTCTGCCGGTTGCCCGCAACTATCTAGGATACCAACAATTTGTTAACATTTTCAGAATTTTGAGGATGATAACAGTGGGGAATGCATCTGTTCCATACTGTAAACGACTTTGTGCCACATATATCACTAGAAGTCTCCAACAGTGGATCGATAACACTTCAGTGACCCCAGCCAGTCGGTTCACATCTACGTACGTATGGTGTGTGATTCAGAATAAAAGTCATTGACGACTTCATGGCTTGGTGCCATGTTTTGACTCCGTCTGCACCTCTAACTCTTTTCCACTTAAATCTGACTTCCGCTAACAATGATTTTGTGGAAGCAGGGGCAAAGTTAAACTTTAAGCACCACTAACTACCAATCAGCGAACGACCTTCAACGGACCAATCACATGAAGCAGAGATGTTTCTGCAGTGATGGTACCACTGAACTGTTTACACGAGCTTTTTTCAGTTTCAGCAGCTGCGCCTCTCACAGGCTGTTTTAAAATGCAGTAATTACAAATATACAAAATCTGGGTTAGGGAGAGATGAGAGCCTAGCGAAAAATGTTCTTATGAAATATTAAAATCATCAGCTTACCTTCCCTAATACTAACTGGTTTCAAGCAAATTGCACAACGATGAACATATCCATCAATCGACATGTTAAAGCTTCTTAAACTCATGACGCCTCCACATGAACAAATCCTCTTCTTCTTAAGCAACCCCAAATCCAGGCAATTCTGTAGAACCTTATCGCCATCAAATTGCAAGCGTAACTTCGTTAGAGCAGGCATTTGATACGAATCAAGCGTAATACAACTTTGAACTCGTGTGCATGAACCTCATTGGTCCATTCGAGGTCATTCGCTGATTGGTTAGTAGTGGTGCTGAATGTTTAACTTGGCTGAACAAGGTGGTGGCTTCAAATGCATAACACGTGTCCTAAACACCTCGATTACTGAGGTGTTACATAACCCCATTGATTGACTTCCCTCCTTTATGTATCATCATATTGAAATGGTAGGAGAAGACAGACTTGTTAAAGGAATGTTTATCTGAAATTTGGTATCTATATCTAACCAAATTATGTACACCTTATCTTCAACGCACCATTTGCACAGATCTTCTGTGTTGTGCCTCCTACTTCTGGCCTTCATATTTTGCTTCTTTGTGTTCCTTGCACGTCTCCCATATATCTCCACAGTACTGTATAATTTGCTTTCTTTGACATCAAATCTGTCTCCCTACTATTTGATGTTTTTATACCGATGAACGTCTCTTTATATACTACTGATAAATCTCATCAGTAGCACATACCACATCAGTGTTAACAAATTTTTATATATAAATGAATTTGTCTTATTTCGATTGAATTGAGATTTATTTTATTCAGGCACCTGTTTAACAAGGATCTCCAGCAGTTGATACATGGTTGGGATAGTCCTTCAATGAGCTTGATATTCGTTACTTTTTCTCTCGAATCATATTCATCACATTCATCCGGCATACATTTGTTTAAAACACTTACATATTGCTAATTGGTAGGTAGTTAGAATTCATGGACTGGTCGGTGAATTCCGTCCTAGTAATCAAAAGGTATTGGGTTCCATCCGTAACGGCGTTGGGACAGGTCACAGGATGTCACTGTTGAAGAGTCGCAAACTGGGTCGAAACAGTGCCCTTCCAATCACCAAATCGTTAAAAAGGCAGAAGTCTGCGAATAATTCTCCGTTCTCACTCATTTCTCCGAGCCAGAGCTCGTCAACCCATGATGAGTTCTTTTCCTGTATTATCTGCTACCAGTTCGGCTGGTGTTCATATCTCCCATGACAATCTCAATGTCACCATTTGAGATGTCGATTACTGTTTGTAGTTGTCGGTAAAAATCCTCCTTCTTTTTTGTTCTGCACTGTGCGTAGCATTGTATAATTGTTACCTTTCTTCCTTTGGAGTTGAATCTTGCTGGCAAGATCCTGGTGACATCATGATAGCCACTCGCTGCCTCAATGTGTTCGTGATTGTTATCTGGGTGACCGGAGTATAATATTGGCTCTTATTGACAATTTTGTCAGTCCACATCCATTCCATCTGCTTTCGCATATACCCAGTACTTCAAAGCCATATCTTCGCATCTTTTTGGTTACCTGGGCAGCCTTCCCAGTCTCGTACATTTTACGGACATTCAACTTACCCATTCTTACTCTTGCTTGCATCGAGAGAAGACACATGGGCTAGCTGACTGTCTTCCCGAAGGCCTTCACTCTCCGATTGGAGCTCCGACTGAGATTGTTATTTGATTTTTTTGTATTTTTAACATATTTTTGTGTTGAACTTTCTCTAGAGGTTTGAAAGATTGAGTGGTGTGAGGTTGCTAGCCCCACGCCCAATCCTCCCTCTTTACCCGGGCTTGGAACCGACTAGAAAACTAGCGAGCTAGTTAACTAGGTGAGGTTGAAGTAGAGACTACAGCAAAGATATTCTGACAAAAATGTTTGTTGCAGAGTAGGAGAAGTCAATGAACAACTTTGCGAAAAAAATAAGTATTAACAGCAGTCCTCTAAATAATGTCAGTTCGTAACTATCGAAGAGTTTGGTTTGTAAGGATTTCATTTGTTTTTCGAGTTTGACCATGGATCGGTATCAGTTAGAGAACCATTAAAAACCAGTACTGGAGTACTGAACAGCTCTTCTGTCCCAGTTTGGGACTCATTGGCAGTATGCACCCACTGCCCTGGGATTCGAACACAGGGCCTTCTGGTTACAAGGCAAACTCGTAGATTATTCAGCCACTGGAACCTGATTCAGTGACCAATGTATCCTACCTATTCATGATTTTAGCTCTACCTGAGTTCAAACCCCAGCAGCTGCGTACTGCGGATGAGTCTCAACCTGGGACGAAACGTCTGTCCTGTACTTCCTAAGAGTATCAATCCGCTATCAAGCTTCAAACGAACTAAATCCCTGCAAATAGGTCTTGAGAATATTCTGTGCCCAAAACTTTCTTTTGTTCAAGTATTTGTTGGTAAGGGTTTGATTGATTGGTTACAGGATTTCATCATGAGCTGACATCAGTTAGAAAACCATTGGAAAACCTGTTGGAGTACTGAACAGTTGTTTCGTCAGCCTAGTTTGGGACTCTGCTTCAGTAGTACGCACCCACCAAAGGGGTTCGAACCCCAGGACCTTCTGGTTACAAGGCGAGCGCACTCGTAGACTATTAAACCATTGGGACCCGATCTAATGGCCAACCCATGAATTCCAACTTCTGCCAATTCACTGCATAGCGCGACTGCTAGCCCAATGTCTTCGGAGACGAGTATTTGTCCTCACACCCGACCTGCTGCACCATACTGGTCACGACTTCCCACTAGATTCCCAGGTAACCTGCCTGAATAGGGTCAGTCGCCAGTGAGCATCTCATTGATATTCAAGTATTGGTTTGCAGGAATTTGATTGATTGGGAATTTTCGCTAAATCAATGATTCATCGTTTTCTTTTATTTTTCAAAACTTTATTTATTTTTTTAACACAATTTTATTGTTATATTTATACAGTGATGAAACAGAATTCGCTAGTTCCTTTGATCTTGGTTGTCCAAAGTTTATTTCGCCTGAGACACCGTACTATGCTAAACCACAACCATTGTCATTACCGTCTACCATGGATTCAATCTCACCGCTTGATTCACAACGTCAACAGATTGATCTATTCAAATCGGAAATTGTTCAACAAATCGAGTTGTTACGTCTTCGTTCATTTCTTAAATTGTATACGAATATGTCTGCATCAAAATTGGCTAGTTTTATGAATATGGTGAGTAGCAATGCTGTATATTTATATATTATTATTGTTATTGTTCTCTTGGGTTCCTAGTGGAACATAGGGCTTCAACTGCACGTCTCCACTTGCTTCTGTCTTCTGCTGTACTTTTCACTTGCGTCCATGTTATTCCATACTGTCTCATCTCCTCCTCACACGATCTCCTCCATGTCACTCTTGGACGTCCCACTCGTCACTTCCCTTTCGGATTCCACTCGAGCACTGGCCTGACGGGCGATGTCACCCGGTGGCCTCCTCAGCGAGTGTCCAATCAATCTCCACTTCTTTCTCCTGCATATTTGTTGAGCGATTGGTTCTTGTTTTGTTTGTTCCCATAGTTTCTTGTTTGTGATTCTTTCCGGCCATCTGATCTTCAGTATAGAACGAAGGCAGCTGTTGATTTATATACATATATATATGTGCATGTTATTTATATACTATAACTACATGGTTTTGATTTGTAATGTGTCAGGAGGTTCAATGAGCTAGAATGCTCTGACATCTTCATCCGTTCCGCCTGTAGTCGAAATGATGCTTCCTAGATAATTGAAGGAAGTGTAACCTCTGTTAAATCTCTCCTGTTGATAGTGATTGATGCTGTGTGCTGCTGTTGTTGCTGTTCTTCATCACCTCCTCCGTCTTCTCTACGTTCACCTGGAGTTATGTCTTCGCTGCCTGCCTCTTCTGCCAGTTTTTTGGTTTAGCAGCTTCGTGCAAGCCTTCGAGTTTGTGTGTGATATTAAACATAAATCATCGACGCCCGAAATTCAGATCTCCTCTTCCACTTCCAACGCACGGTCGGACGCATAATCCAGTCCGCCATAATTAAGAATATCATTGGTGATAATCGGCAGGCGGGCAGGCAGCCAGCTCGTCTTACTCCTGTATTTCACTTCGAAAATAATCACATTTAGATAGCACTATATTTTGGTTCAGTATCAAATCTAAAGTGTCGTCCTGCTACTTCTTGTTATCGCTGTCTGCTTGATCCTTATTTTCGGAAATTTGTATTCCTTTACGTTTCCAGTGGAACATCTTCCTTCAACGCATACTTCAATTTGAATTGAAGTGAGCTTTTAGATTTCTCCACGAGTTTATTAATCATCTCTCCTGGTGGGTGGCCTTGGATGTGATTGGTTGTTTTTGTGTGTTTTCACACCTTCTAGAGGCTACTTGTATTGGAACTGATTGTTTCTTTGACTTGAACTTTGACCCTTTGTGTGTGAGGTTTCTTTCTTATCGGTTGATAAATTTTGTGTATCACTATGTGTCTATTGATTGATGATCCACTGGAATACCAGACTTCTAAAAATTCTCTAACATTCTTGGTGTTTCCTCTGTCTAATATTTGAACGCTGGTTGTCCCAGTCGAATTGATGTCCGTAGTTGTCTGTATGTAGTGATCTCTAATCTCCTCTTCACACGATCTTCTCCATGTCGTCCTCGGACGACCAAATGTCATTTGAGATGTTGTCAATTACTGTTTTCAATTGTCTATAGAAATCTTCCTTCTTCTCTTGCTCCGAGTCGTTTGTAGGTACGTAGCATTGGATGATTGTAAACTTCCTTCCTTCCTTTTCAGTTGAATCTTGCTGTCGTAATCCTGGGGGGGGGAGATTGGCTGCCACTGGTGACATCATGATAGTCACTCACTGCCTCAGTGTGCTGGTGGTTGTTGTCTGGGTGACCAGATCGGAGTAGATTACTGACTCACCAGTTGGCAATTTCGACAGCCCACATCCATTCCATCTGCTCTCGCAGATACCCAGCACTTCTATACCATATCTTCTCATTTCTTTGGCTACCTAGAAAGCCTTCCCAGCCTCGTACATTGTACGGACATTCCACGTACCCATTCTGACTCTTGCTTTCATCGAGAGGAAACAAATCAGCTGGCTGACTGGCTTCCTGAAGGCTTTCACCAGCCTGCATCACATTTTACCTCTCCGATTTCAGCGAAAATTAAGTTTGTCTCTTATATTTTTTTTGTATTCTTAGTATTTTTCTTGTACGTTGAAGTTTCTCTATCAGTTTGATTGGTTTTGTGGTGTAGGGTCGCTAGCCCCACGCCTAACCCTCTCTCTTTTCCAGGGCTTGGGGCCGGTTAGAAAACTAGAAAGCTAGTTGACTAGGCAAGGTTGAAGTAACTACGTTGAAAGTGGAATCCGAGATTCATTGACTGAAAGTTGAGCTACATTCCCACCTTGTTTATGACAGTTATATCCTATCAACCATCTTTGTATTATCTATTTACTAATTACTAAACCACATTTTGGTACATTAAGGGCACCAAAAAATGCGCCACACAAAACCTCATACTTTTTGCCAGGGCTGGGATACTACCTGGATTTTCAGGCCAAAGCAAGTGGTTGACTTATGGCGTCACCTCTTCCTCGAGGCTTCGGGTTGAAGTCTAATCATGACGCAAGGCAACGAGTGGAGTAGCGTCAGGAGCTACGTTCCCATGGATCCCGGAGACACCAAAACAGGTTCATATACCATTCGATCCTTTCGGATTCTGGAGCCCATATATACCACATAGGTTTGGAATCAGGATCTTGCAGCTCCCCACTCACTCTAGGTCGACCTGGATGTCCACCAGTCCGGTTTTAAGCTGCAGACCTTCGCATTCTCCCCTTCCCTTTGGTGAGGAACACTCCCATCATATGAAGGCAGTGAATAGGACTCATCTCGCAGAGGCTTGCCTGCATTTCGAGGGGATAAACCTAGTCTGAGCACTGTCGACTGAAGGAGACCGTTTTAGCGGCGGGGAGTGTCATTATCTTGGAGCTATCACGATTGTCATTTTTTGTATAAGTTATCAAGTAAATTGTATTTATTTTCTTTCCCAGTAATAATCATTCATCATATCTTCTATTTTTTCTGTTTTATATCAGTCTGAACCAGCTTTACATATGGCGTTGATGGCATACAAATATCGATTGAAACAAGCAATGCTACCAAATGATTGTATTGAAAATGGTGGTAGTAGTAGTTATATAACATCAGTCAGTGCAGAAATGAATGGTTCACAACAAATGCATCCACATTTAGACTTTTATGTTGATGGCAATATGATATTTGTCGCGGATACAACGGTGGATAGAAGATTTTCAGAATTTTTCATTCGTCAAATTGACTTACTGCAACAGGTCAGAGCGTTTTCTCTCTTTTTTTCTTCTCCTTTTTCCATTATGTTATTGGTTGAAGGTAATCGGTCGGTGACTGAATTGAAAACTAGATGGTACTGAACAGCTGTTTCGTCCTTGTCTGGGACTCCTCACAGTAGACATCCACGACACCCTTCTATGAATCTATGGATTGGGTCCCATTGGCTTAATGCTGTACGAGCTCGCATTGTAACCGGAAGCTCCTTGGTTCGAACCCCGTGTAGTGGGTGCGTACTGTTGAAGAGTCCCAAACTAGGACGAAACAGCTGTCTAGCAGTACTCCCAGGATTCCTAATGGTTCTCTAACTGATCTCAGCTCATGATGAAATCCTGTAACTAATCAAATCCCTACAAACCAACACTTGAGTAAAATTGTATGCCAAAATTCCAACTCTGTTTTCTTTATTCAAGGCAAAGTTTGTAAGGCGTTCGTTTAGGTTACAATAGAGGTGCAGACATTTCTCCACCTACTAATACTATTTAAAGGCTAAGTTAAAGTACTTTTGTGGTGATGTGATACAGACAGTGTGTGCCAACAGTTCAACTCGACATTAACAACAGAATACGGTATATCTATTTGAACATCATATCACCTTGATATGATTATGAGCAGTAAATTGTGCTCGGAACGTGGTCATCAGTAAACATTACTGTATAACACTGTGAGACTATCAAAACAAATTTCACCCATAATGGATGCTGCATGTACTTCCAGATGTCAACTCCCAATTTTGGGCAAAACACGCCTTTACTGGATTTTGCGGTTAGTCACTATCAATTGAAATATCATACTTAACATAAGAAATCCCATTATCTGAATATCAATCTCCAGCTCATTGATAGCTACTTCTGCGTGGATGTCCTACAAATGTACTGAGAAGTGGTGACCACTGTGGCTCACCATGTCAGTGTGTGAACGTGTCACTAACGATGGTGCCCTTATCCCGTGATATAATTCATGGGACAGTTAATTCTTGCCAAAATGGCTGAATGGTTAACTAGCTTGGTTTCGTAGCTTGAAGGTACCGGGCTCAATTCCTGCCTGATATGAGGCACAGTTGTGATTGCGCCTTGCTGAAGAGTCCCAGGATAGGACGAAACAACTGTCTGTCCAGTGCTTCCCACTGGTTTTCAATAATCTGTCCAAAACTGAGTTTGGTTTTGTGATGAAATCTAACCTATGAAATTATAAATAATTGCTGAACAGAAAAATATTTAGTTAACCTTCTAGTATGACGAAATCGTTTCTAAGTTGTAGTCATTTTCACAGAGATATTCTTGCTTCAGTCTTCTTTCCTCATCCTTGGTATTTCCTTCTTTGGGTAATCGTTGTAACTCATTATCTTATTTATTTATTATTGTCGCTTTTCAGATGAATAGAACATTGGATACATTGGAACGACGTGTTCACGAAGCCAGTATACAAGAATCAAATGAAACAGCCCAACTTCGAAGCTAATAAGGGATATTATTCTATTAATGTATCACTGTGTTCTGTGTTTCTTTTGAGATGATCTGATTCTAACAAATAAATTCTTTGTGGAGTAGGAATGTGGGTTTTTTTGTTTCTGCCTGGTTTGAAGTTAGTTTGTGATTTGGATTTTTGATTGAAACCTTGTTTTTCAGTAAATAATACTGTTACACTCACTGTGTGATATATCTAATAAACAAACTAATATGGAATTACAGTTTAATTAGGAGCAGTATATATGTATGTTTCAATTATAAAATAACATTGTTTAGAAGACTGGTGAACACTGGCCATGTGGCTACTTTGTTTGTGTATTATCTTTCAAGATCACATTAAAATTCGAATTATTCAAGTATTCCTTTGTAGGGATTTTGTTTGATTGGTTGGAGGATTTCATCATGTGCTTGATAATTAATCTGATGTTCACTAGCGACTGGGCCTATTCAGGTAGGCAGTTACCTGGGTGGGGTTCTGCTGAGAAGCCGTGACCAGTAGTAGGGTACACCAGGTTGAAGGCGAGAACAGTTACTCATTGAAAACGTCATTGCGAAGTGGTCGCCCTATGTCATGAGTGAATTGGCAGAAGTTACAATTCATGAGCAGGCCATTGGATTGGATCCCAGTGGCTGAATGGTCAACGAGCCTGCCTTGGAAGTAGGAGATGCTGGGTTCGAGCCCCAGTGGGGTGGTTGCGTACTGCTGAAGCAGAGTCCCAAACTAGGCTGATGAAATGGCTGTCCAGTACTCCCTGGCTGGTTTTCCTATGGTTCTCTAACCAACGTCAGCTCAGAATGAAATCCCCCAACTGTCAAAGAAATACTTGTAGATGTAGTTGCGTATACAGATGTCGGCAACAAATATTAGGAAGTGTCTATGCATAGTTTCATAGGCCTCTAGATTTCATTTACGTTAATCTAAGGCGAGTAGAGTTTTTAAATATATATACATATATATATATGTAATTCTTTGACTAACTGACAGAGTTCTAATATATAACATTGCACTGAACTGTACCGGTTCAATTCGCCACACTCCACATAGTACATCGAGGTAGACATAAGAGATTCAAAAGAATTATAATATGGAGAAATATACTAGGGAATGAATTGTAATATGGCAAAACATGAGAACTTAGAGGATCTGAAAAAGTGAATGCATCTGTGCCAATGACAATGATTTTGAGTCCAATCACCAATAGTCTCAAACCTTTGTTTCTTAACATCCTAAGTACAATGAACGAGACACTTCCCTATATGGTTCAAACCAATTGTTAGACACTTGATGGATTGATGCTGTGTTCTGATTTGATGACTGCGCCGAACTCTTTACCAACCTTATCCTAGTTATGTGAAGGGTGGTAGCTTGGTATGTGTGACACATGTCGTAGCCATCTCAGTCGATGTTGCTTCACAACCTCTTCGGTTGACTTTGCTTTCACACCTGGTGTCCGACTCATGCAGTCAGCCAGGTGAGAGCTTACGGCGAGTTGTCATCTGAAGTGGTGTCCGATAGGAATGCCCACTATCCCCATTTCTCTTTAATTTCATCAAAGATGTACTGATTGACTTAACCGTACCTGAATTCAGGGATTCACTTGTTACCATCAGGGAATAATCTCATTGACTTAGAATATGCAAATGATATAGTCCTTTTTCCAACCTGAAGACGCTGACAAAATGCAGCAGAGTCTTCTGAACACCTTGAGCTGTGCAGCAATCTTCGAATGTTTAGCATGCGATTCAGTCCCTTCATATGTAAGATAATGCTACAGGACTCGATTGGACTACATTGACTCCTAGTTTAGAAATAGGAAGTGAAGTGGTAGGGTGTGTTGACCACTGCACTTATTTGGGAAGCTGCATCAGCCCCAACGGGTTGATGGCCGACGAAATCTCAGCACGGATACAGAGGGCTAGATTCGCATATGCCGGTTTACGCCGTCTCTGAAGTAGACGTGATATCCGGCTGGCTGTCAACCAAAGGAAGTGTGTACTGCTCTGTCCTCCTTTATGGCTGTGAGATATGGCCATTGAAGGTGGAAGACATGACAAGGCTAGCTACCGAGCTGTCTTTGATCATAGGTGTCTGCGTTCTATCTCCCATGTCAAGTGGTATAATAGGGTGAGCAATATTGAGGTGATGCAACTGTCGATTGTTAGGTAAGGAGGGAGGAGAAATCAATAGTCGAGGGTGTGAAGCTACATTGACTGAGATGGTTAGGACATGTGTTATGCATGCCTAGCCATCTCCTTCCTCGACGGACGGGCAATGTTAGCTGACATAGGATCGGTAAGGTTGGAAAAGAGCCAGCTAGTGGTGGTCAAACCAAAACATGGCTTCATCAGTCAATGAAATCCACAACAATTAGTGTAAGCCATCCACGTAGGAAGATGTGGATCTCCAGACTGGTTGGGGTCCTTGGGCTGGTAGGAACCAATACCAATGGCGACTGGAGACAATCGGTGGTATGGCTGAAAATCGTTCTCAATGATTGGCTCAGATTCATCCACTCCTTTTGACTTATAATTTCCAATAAAACTATTTGGTTCTTTCATATTACTACCCTTTTTGTCTCATATCTCTGTTTACTGTCTTTTTACTTTCTTCTCTGGCTTTGTGTGCTGAGTGAAGTGTGGCGACTCGAACTGCTGCACATCAGTGCAAAGTTCTGTGTTGAAATCAGACAAACAGATATCTTTCCTACAATGGGAGAATAAATTTCTCGATGTTTCATTACCGTGTCTAAATGTACACAGACGTGGAGTTATATCAGGTATTTCTGAGTTTTAATCTGTCACTCATCGGTATACTTTGTCAACCTTAAACGACAGTTATTCAAAGATTATGTACCAACAAGTGAAGTAATAGGCCAGAAGCTAAGATAATCTATTCAAAGAACTTTTAATATCCTGTAAGCTGTGGCTCTTATTTTCTGCACCCTCTCGATTGTGAAAGACGAAGTATCTTAACTAGCCACTTCTTCTTATATCTATCAGTCCAACTACCCCCTGTGGAGCCATATACATATTGAACGTGGTTCTAGGAGCTTGGTTTTTCGTGCTCAGATACACCAAACAGTATGGCTAAATAAAGGCGTAGTTAAAACTATCAACATTTCGATAGTACCTCACCTGATCCAAATAGACCATATATAAATATATACCATTGAATAATCTTTTTCTGTCATCTCTCTCAGGTGCCAAATAAATTGCCTCAAAAGCCTGCAAATACTGAACACTTGAAACAGCAGAGTCTATTACAATTCACTTCAAAAACAATCAAAGCTTTGCATGCAAAACGCTTTCAGACATTATAGATTCATAAATTCTCTTTTGATTTTGTTAATTTATCTGCTATTCAGTTTAATTGCATTATGGATGAAATTTTATTTTGATAAAATAACACAGTGTTTGTCATACAGTAATTAATATTTAATGATGTCCAAGTTTCGAGCACAATTTATGGATGCTCATAATCATATCAAAGCACTACTCACACAACTTTTTCGATGTAGTTGTGTTCTCTGAGAGCCGGATGGATGGTTTATTTGCAAAGTTTTTATTGCCCTACTAGGCAACATATTCAGAGCATACTTCAATTCGAAGTGAAGTGAGCTTTTAGATTTCTCCAGGAGCTTATTAGTCATCTCTTCTGGTGGGTGACCTTGAACGTGACTCTTTGGTTGTTCTCGTGTGTTTTCACACCCTCTAGGCTACTTGTATTGTTAATGGTGTTGATTGTTCCCTTGACCTGAAGTTTAATGTCGCACACAGACCAATAAAATCACTCCATTCAGCTGTGTGTCAACCAAAAGACTTATCAGAGAAAGAAGATAAAACTAACAAAATAAGTTGCAACGATTGATTAAAAAACTACATTGGCCAAAGTGGACGACGTCCTCTTCGTCTTCGTATCCATGATCATAAACTGGTCGTCAAAGGACATGACATCCACTCCCTCATATCACTCGCTACATAGAGACAACCACGAACATCAATTAGACTAGGACAACCAACGTTCAAATACTAGACAGAGGAAATGCCAAGAATGATAGGGAATTTTTAGAAGCCTGGTATTCCAGTGAATCGTAAATCAATAGACACATCGACGTAGACAAAATTTACCAATCGATAAGAAGGAAAGCTCATACACACACAAAGGGTCAAACTTCAGGTCAAGGGAACAATCAACACCATTAACAATATAAGTAGCCTAGAGGGTGTGAAAACACAGAAACAACCAAAGAGTCACGTTCAAGGCCACCCACCAGGAGAGATGACTTATAAACTCGTGGAGAAATCTGAAAGTTCACTTCAACAAACTAATGTATTCGCTGAAGATGTTGTCTAGTTTGGCAATGAAAGCTTCGTAAATAAACCATCCATCCAGCTCTCAGAGAACACAACTACATCGAAAAAGTTGTGTGAGTAGTGCCTTGGTCATCAGTAAATATTACTTACTGTATAACAAACACTGTGTTACTTTATCAAAATAAAATTTCATCCATAATGCAATTATACTCTACCACAGTGTCCAAGTTTTATCCTTATAAACTCGAATTGCACAAGCCTGTGCATTTGCAAGCATCTTCCTGTTTCTTTGTCTGTTATTATTATTAGTAGTATTATTATAACTATTACTATTGATATTACTCTGTTTGCAATTCTTGTTATATTCTCTAATGACTAATTGTTTATCTAAGTGATGTAATTGAAGCGTAATACATTTTATCTTAATTTTAATCTCTCATACTCTCTCTCTCTCTACTTATCTATTTGAACATGACCTGGAGAACATTCTCACCTGTCTTTCTGCATGACTAATTCAATGTAGTTTAGTTGCTTATCAGTCTTATATCTCCCAATGTAATTTCAATAGTATATATATCCGTTTATGTAAAGTATTCAGCCGATGAGTTCTACCGAATTTCGATGAATCCATCATTAGATCCTGCTTTCATTAACACCTTTCGTTGCTTGTTTTAAATT